ATACTCGTTTCTTTGACTCGCCTGGATGTGTGCAGCATTTTTGTTGAACGTAATCGTTAGCTGCAGCTTTCATGCGCAAAACGATTGGTTATTATTCTCTTATGAGCGACTTGTTTATATTCGAAAACGTGATGCGTAAATCGTCAGTCGAATCTTTAAGGACCCTTCATCCAGAAAGAACGGATATTCTTCATATGAAGTTGGCGCAGGGAACGCAGGGACGTGTAACAAGGCCAGAGTTTTCGCCCGTTACCGCCTAATTTAGGGTTTGCCACTGTAACGCTGGCAGGCTTCCATTCATTAATTGTCAGGCAGGTTGGGTTCTACCCAAACACCAACATCGGACTGAGCCCGAGTTGTAGGGTTGACACCTGAGCAGAAAAGCTTTCACCCGAATAGGTTCAAAATTCCAGAACCCTGGCGTTTTATTGACCTTTCGGTCTCTTGAACCATATCCTGCTCTTTCTCTCTGAATGAGGAGATATTCCAGTTTCCAACCGTGAGCTTTCACTATCCGTATTTTTTCCATGGAGCCTTATTTGATCTGCCTTAATAGCATCGCACTGTCTGTCTCCTCTGTTCAGAACGGATAGCGAATCCGTTGCTGACTTGTAAATTCGTATACTTTTTGAGCAGCTGTCGCCGTACACCTGCGTTTTCCATCTGCCAGACGTGTGAAACAGGTTCTAATCGCAGACTTTTCGCAGTTTGCCTCAGTTCCCGAACAGCCACCGCGGCCCTTGGTAGTCCAGACGACTGAATCTGTATAGCATTCACTAGCGTCAGTACCACGAGTGACAGGTTGCTAAGTTGTGCAGGAGACTTCGCCACGTACTCAGACCTCCTCCTTTCTCATCTGGGCTTGGAACCGGCAGTGGCTGAGTTTAGTGAGACCTTCGAAGCTATTTGTATTTCTGAACAACATTGCAGTGACTGCTATCATCTCGTACAGATAAGAAAAAAAGTGCTTTTATAGTAGGCAATTTCAAAAGTCAGCAGATTGGGAAAAAAACGTTTTGCCTTGATTAAGCTGTCTAAATACAGCGCTCGTTTTACGTGCATTGTACTCGTAACTCATGTTTTTGAATGTCTTCGTAGACCAGGCCACAGGTTGTACATGACCTACGTACATGAACGTGTCTGAAGATAGAATATTTCGTTCGTGTTTTGGTAGTCTTACTAATATGACAGCATAAAACGCTGTTTAATGATACTTATCGCAAAAGATATGGTCAATCCGGTGAATGATTAGAGACGACGTTAGGCCCATGTCTCCGGTCTTTTTCAAGGTAGGCAGGTGGTAGGGTTTCGTCAACTTCGTTTGTCGTCCGCAGTAGTTGATGGGTTCGGAATCAGAAGGCCTACGTAAACGTGACAGTATATTATCATTCGATTTGTTTTCGTTTTCATCGCCTCTCTGAAAAATACTGAGATTGTGGGAAAACAATAGATTTCTTTTACACGTTGATATCGTACTAGAAAATGGCAGCGACCATACTGTGGAGGGTATTGCAAGAATATAGTGTGGAATGCCTAGTTGTTGAGGGCCATAAAATCCTTGTGATCTTTCAGATATCGTTATCTATATTAATGGCAAGCATTCTGTACCTTTCTAAATGCGTATTAGTCTTTGCCTAGAATGTGCGTTGACTCATACTAATAACAGTTGTTGTAACCTGAATCAGTAATAAAATGCTAAGTCATAAAACGGTGCATTTGGGGAAGCTTGTCACAGTTTTGCCTGCAGTTGATGTCGTCATGATCACTTAATCCTGTGATGTCCTTTAACTTGCACCCGACCGTTTCGCTGCTACGTTCAGTTGCGATGAAGATCAG